ACGTGGGATCCGAACCCTCGGGCGGGAGCGCCGCTGCGCTTCCCAAGCGGCGCACTATCCAGTGCGCCACCGGGCTGGCCCTGGTTCAGGGACTTTTAAACACCTTTTTTTTTTTTTAAGACTCAAGAGTTTGGTTTGGAAAGTTTGATGTATGTTAATTAAAGCCACTGAGAACAAGTTCAGACCATCCAGCCTTCATTCACAGAGGAAAGGAAAAAAACAACAGAAAAGACATCCCTTTCTCCAGCCCACTAGTGAAACTTGGTTTCCAGCAACCTCATAAATTATGTCTTTATAGGTACAATTTAATGAAAAAATATTCCCCATGGTCATAAGTGCCCTGCGCATAGTAAGTGCTTTAAAGTGCTTGCATTTCCACATTTCTGTTGCAGAGACCATAACACAAAAGTAGCTTTTTTTCCTCAAAGATTTATTCACTGATTCTGCTGTTGCTTCCCCCAGGGGAACTGCCTCTTCATGGATTAATAAAAGGTTAACAATAGCCTGAATGTGTTAAAGAAGATGGCTGGATTTCAGTTTTGTGGTTGAAATTATTTCTATTCTTGAAATCCTGTTGTTTCCTAGTGATCAACTAAATAAAATACTCCACTTTTTTTTTGAAAGGTTGGGATGTGAGAGCATGTTTTTGAAACCCAGAGGGTTCACCTCTGTAAATATTTCTGCATTTTATGGGCTTTTAGGATATTGTCACTGGAGACCATTTCCGTTATGTGGAATTTTCATAGGAGTTGGCACAAATTGCTATCTGGCTCCTACCCCAGCACTCCACTAAACTGCCTAGTCAGGGTACCAGGGACTCCCATGAATTCCTCTCTGTAGCAGGTGACATTATGACCACTCACTCCTTGAAACTCCCTCAACTTTTGGTTTCCTTTGTCATCCCTGAGTGGGGTGATAGCTCCGTGCCCAGTCTGTTTCAGTGGCCCGAGCTTTTGGAGTCACAAAGATGGTTGAGATGTAATTTCACCCTTAAAGAAATTACACCTAGCAGTGGAGACACATGTGTAGACCAGTGGGTACAATGCGATGTTTCCAGTGATGTGTCAGAAGCCTGTATAATAGGAATTTTCAAGGTGTATATGGAGTTATGGGGTGGAGAGCATGGAGAAGACATGTCAAATTGCCTGTGGGGAAACATGTGAAGTTTAAAATCCTCCCCCAGCTTCGTGCTTCTAATATATCCTCTACCACTTCATGAATGATTGGACATGGAAAGTTAGAGGAAAGGGACGTGACTCTCATATTTCATATATGTCATTGCATTAGTTGGGATAAGGAATGTAACTGCTGTATGAAACAACACACACACACACCTCAGTGGCTTAGAACAGTAAAGATTAATTTCTCACATCACAGGTTGGTATGAGCTTTATTCCACACAGTCGTTCAGGGACACAGGATTCTTCCATCTAGTGACCCTGCCTGGGCTTTGGAGTCCTCCTGGATCCTCCACTCTCTGCATAAAGGGGAGGAGGAGAGAATATGGAAGATTAGGTAGGAGGTATTTATGGATGAAACATGGGAGAAATAGAAATCATTTCTGCCCATTTAGTTACATTCCCCCCCTCTCCAAATGCAAGGGAGGCTGGAAAATGTAGTTGAGTTATGTATCCAGCAAGGAAAAAAAAAAAGGGATGTCTCCACCTTAGTCACCAAATCCTGTTAATTCTACCTCCCAAATATCTCCCCAACCTTTCCCTGCTGCTTCCCTTCTGGTACTGTTAGAACTCAAGTTCTCATGATCTCTCTTTCACCTCCTAAATATCAAGGATTTCTAACTAACCTTCCGTGTCTGCACTAACCCCTCTGCAGTACCAGAGGAATCTTGCTAGAATAAAAATATGAGCATATCATACCCGTCCTTAGAAGCCTGCAGTAGTTCTGTTTCCTTCTGAACTCCTTAGCAAGGCACACACGGCCCTTCTCTTCTGGGCCTCATCTTCTGCCAGCTCTTCGCTCCATTCATACCAAATGTGTCTCCATTCCACATCTGCAAACTGTGTGTTCACCCTTCTTTGCCTTTGCACATACTATCCCTTCTTCCTAGAATTCCCTTGTCCCCTTTCCCCACTTATTGAATGCTAGGCATCCCTCAGGATTCACCTTCTCTGAGCAGATTTCCAGATGTGAATTTTCTGGTAATGCTAAATCGTTCTGCCCTCAGTTTGCCCATCATGTGTTCATTCTTGTATTGCTCAGGGTCCTAGCAGGAAGGGAAGACTGAGGAGAGTTAAATGAAGGGACTGTTTACAAATGTTTGCATAGCTTTAAGGGAAATAAACAAGGGACAATGGCATGCTGTGGAGCTAGCAGCAGAGAAAGCTGTCGCCAACCTATGCCTGAAGAGGCAAAGCGAGAAAGCCAGGAGAAGAGGGCGAGGGGGAGCTGGAGTGTGGCCTTTGGTAGAGGACGTAGCCAGCCACCACGTTGCAGCCTGGCTGGGAGGGAGCATGTGTCTTGACCTCTCTGTCCTCCTGTTCTTCAATCCCCTGCTGCCATCTCCCAATGGGTCAAAACAAACCAGAAGCTCAAGGGCAAGGGAGCCCATTTGTGTTGACCTTCAGGTCAGCTTCCCAAAGCACAGAGCAGAGTAGAGAAGAGGGAATGCATATCTGAATGTCAAGCAGAGAACCCCCACAACACGTCTTTATATCTCTGTCATAGAACCTAACACATTATATCAAAATTATTCACGTACGTATCTTTCCCACCAAATTATGAGTTCCTTGAATGCATGTCTTTATATTTTTCTGAATCACTGATGCATAGTACAGCCTTGAAAAGTTGCTAAAAATAATAGTCCTGTCATAGTCTGTTTTGCAAGAACAAAACACCATAACTGGGTAGCTTATAAACAACAGAACCTTATTTCTTACTGTTTGGAGGCTGGGAAATCCAAGACCAGGGTGCCAGCAGATTTGATGTCGGTTGAGGGCCTGCTTTCTGGTTCATAGATGGCACCCTCTGACTGTGTCCTCACATGGCAGAAGGGGCAGTGGATCTCTGCAAGGCCTCCTCTTAATCCCATTCATGAGGGTTCTACCCTCATGACCCAAGTCACCTCACAAAGGCCCTACCTCCTAATACTGTCACCTTGGGGTTTAGGAATTCAACATACAAATTTAGGGGTACATAAACATTCAGTCTACTGCAGGACTTTTTGTAATATTTAAATATTAAACTGCATTATTAGTCTTTTTATTTTTATAATGTTTAAATGAAAATTAAACAGTATTATTACAGTCTTTTTATTTTTAAGTGCTGAAAAACCACTTCCTAGGGTTGTCTTACGGTGTGAATAGTATGGAGAGTTTTGTTTCATCTTCCTGACCTGTCTTTTTTCACTTCTCAGCCAAGCAGGCAGGACCCGTGAAATCATCATGCCTTCTAGGAACTACACCCCATACACAAGAGTCCTGGAGTTAACTATGAAGAAAACTCTGACTTAGGCACTCGAATACACACACTTTTTATGGATGGACAAAAGGCCCTGGAACCCTGTGGCTTGAAGTCGGGAAAGGGTGGCTGTTGTTTCCACATACACAAAGTAAGCCAGAATGGAAATTGCGGAGGTTCTGATTCACTTCTGAGACAGGAAGGAAAGTGAAGGGGGAGGAGACAGGCAAGAGAGGGAGGGGCACAAGGTCGCATGTCAAACACCCAGTAGTACAGCGTACCCTGCTGTACTGTGTCATCATCTGTTTTCAGTGTAGACACTGAAATCCTATCAGGATAATTCCTTCACAATTCATTTTCTGTTTTGCTAGACTCGGTTGGGGGAGAAAAGGGCATTCATTTGAAATTTCATGTTACCTCAGGATCATTTGTTACAGCATGAAGGTTTTGTTTACCCATAAAAGTATTAGAGGCAGTGTTTCTCTGGTACAGAGAAGCCTGTTCTCAAGGAGCCTGGACACCCAGAAAAACTTGAACCTGGAGGGAAGGGTTCCCAGTGTGCAGATGCTCTCTCCTCGGTCCCTAGGATCTGTGCAGGGTTGTGAGAGCCGCGGTTAGGGACATGTGTGGGCCAGACAAGCTTCATTCTGATGTGCTAATCTCTTGGTTTAATTTGTGCCTTATGCCTTTATTGGACCAGCTGAAATCACTGTATTTATTCAACCTGTGATTTTTTTTCTCTCACTTTAACTTAAAGAGAATGTTTTATGCTGTAGAAGTTTAATCATTTAATGTTTTCAATATCAATTGGTGTTTTTGTTTAATGAATGAATAAATCTGTTTATGCACGCTCTACTTTGATATTATAACCTACATCACATATGTTTAATAAATATCATATATTTTGTTCTACTAATGTGTCTGTCTTTCATTCATGGCCATGTAGAAAGGGCAGAGAGCGAGTCAAGCTTAGGAATGAGTGTTGATGTCAGATCACGGTGATCTTTCAATCAGTACAATCCATAGAAGCATTTATAAACCAGAATATTTTATGTGTGTCTTTCTTTTTAATTCCTAAAACATATTTGGTCAACCCACCTTCTAGAAAGAGTAAGATACATTCATGATCACAAAATACAAAAATAGTTTTTACTTTAAAGAATCTCCCTCCCTTTGTGCACAGTTCCTACCTCTTATGCTCCCCACTTCAAAAATGAAAACAAAAACAAAAGAAAGAAAGCAGGATAAATCACTATGAATCAGGATAGTGTAAAGAGGAAAATGCACATTCTGGAGCCAAATTTGTTTCTAAATTCTTGCTGTGGGACCTTGGCAAATTGTCAGAGCTCTCTGAATATTAGTTTCATCTTCTAGAAACCTGGGAGGACCACACCTGTGTGGTAGGCTGACGTGAGCATCTGGTGAGGTGATTCACATGGAGGACTGGCGCGGTGCTGGACAGGCAGCGATTGCTGTCGTTCAGGAGGCTTGTTTTAAAGCACCGCTGACTCCTGGTGGACCCTCATGAATGGAGGTGTCCATGCTCTCTGGAAATCACCAAGGAGGAGTGTTTAGGGAAAAGGCAGTTCTTAGAAAGGAGAGAGGCAAGCTGGACTCGAGGCCCATGCCCCTGGAAGAGCTGGTCTGGAAGCAGTTTCTAAGTGAAAAGCAATGACTTAAAAAATGTCAGTTTTAATGAGACCGAGGCGGAAACGAACACTGCTCTGCAAACTCTTTCACTTTCCTTCCTTTCTCTCTCTCTTAAAATAAGAAAGAAAAACTTAGTACTTTAAAATTTAAAGAATGCCAGGGATCATTCTACAGCTGAGGCCTTTGTATTTTTAAATATATCTTCAACATGTGGAGAATTCTAGACATTATTGGAACTCTTTAGAAACACTATTAGAGTTCCTAAATTGTACAGGCTGAAACTGAAAGAAACTGAGATAATCCTTCTAGATCCTTTGTCAAAATTAACTAGAGTGACCCGCAACCCCCCATCTGAAAGAGTGACATTCATCACCCTCTTCCTGAGCATGGGTATTATGTAGAATTGGGGGATGAACTCTAGTATTTCATAGTAACTTTATCTCACTAAAATGAAAAACAGCAGTATGTAAGAGTTTTTTTAAAAAAATAAAAAATAATATCATATAATAATGCTTCAAGTTATTTTCATTTCAGTCCTTCCAGAGTTTCTTTAAAAAAAACCCTACCTATGTACACTTATTTTGTTTTTTGAACAAATATGACTCTGTACTGAGAAGCAGAATCATGCGGTTTTTAAGAACTGGGCTCTGGAGTCCACCTGCCTGAGCTCAGTCACTAGCATGTGCATGGGTAAGTTCCAGAACCTGCCTGAGCCCCCGTAAAATGGGGATAGTGACAGTTCTGTCCTAATGGGGTTGATGTGAAGAGTAAATGTTAGTACCTGTGCAGTTTTTAGAATAGCACTTGGCACATAGGAAGCACTTACTGAATGCTACCTATTCTTACTACATACTTCCGTAACCACTTTTTGCTTATTATACTATGATTATTTATATATATAAATATATATATATATAATCTACACCATTGTTTCTTATAGTTAATTGGATTCCATTTTATTGATGTGCCATGATTTACTTGATCTATCCCCTAATGCTGAAATTTTGGAGGTTGTCTTTACTCTTTTTTTAAGCAATCCTTTGATGAACCATCTTATGCACTCATCTTTGTACACTTGCCTAATTATTTTCTCAGGATAAATTCATAGAAGAGGAATTGCCAGGTCAAAAGGTTTGTACACTTTAAGTCTTTTGGAACATGTGGTCCAATTTGGCCTATGGAAATTTGTATCCATTGAAACTCTCACCAACGGGATGGGAATGTGATTTCCTGACCCCTTTGCCAATACTAGAAATGAGAAATGGAGTGTATAAAGTTTCTTTTTTTAGGCTACTTGCCCCCAAACAGGTAGTGAAAGAAGTTCCTTCAGGATATTGCCTTCAGATACCTGAACTCGGGTGTGCAGGTGTGAGTTGCAGGGCTAGAGGCCCCCAGGGCTCGGAGAGTGCCTGGGCAGCCAGCAGGAAGCTGGATGGGGCTCAGAAGGAGTGGGTGTCCCCAGGATCTAGGAATCCGAGAGGGCCTGATGCTCAGTGAGCCAGAACAGAGAGCCAGTCGTGGAGAAAAAAAAAACTCAAGGCCTGAGCCTGAGATAGCATTTGACTCCAGGCAGGGCATGCCCCACAGGGCAGATTTGCGGACTAGCCTGGGAGGGATGACCAACATTAGGGAAGTGCTTGGAGTTAGGTGATGTGACAGGGTCCCCCACTGGAAGATGCATGACCAAAAGCTGGCCCCTGGGCTGGTCTGAGCACCCACCTTCTCCCCAGTGGATGTCATCTGCCTGTGCCAGGAACTCATGGGTGATCATAAGGACAAGGGGTGAGGGTGAGGGTGACAGGAAGGTCAGGATTCTTTTGTGTCCTGGCTCAGGGCACATCAGGCCATGGTGCTATTCTTGATACCCAGACTCAGAGGCCCAGTTCAGTCAGCACATGCCAGGTTCTGGGAAGACAAAGGTATGTACCTGAAGACCCTTGTCCTTTCCAAAATCTTCCCAGTGAGTCCAGCTCCTCCTGATCTTTTCGGGCTCCAATGATGTAAGCTCCTCAGGAGCGGTTTCCCATAAAGGAAAAAGTTTCTCATGTTAGTCATTTGGAGGAATTCATTCCAAACCTTGATAAGCATGAAAAAATCTACAAATGAAAGGTATTCCAGAAAGAACTTTGCTGGGGGGAAGTAAAGGAGACCAACAGTTCCTGAGTAGACATAGCACACGTACACTGAATCTTTCCAACAGTCCTGCAGGGAAGATGTTATTACCACTATTCTAAGGATAAGGAAATTGCAACTCAAAGAGATGTGAAAATTGTTCAAAATCACCCAGGCCTGTCTGATTTCAGAACACAGGTGGGTGGCCTGGAGTCAGTCCCAGGTCTGCTATTAAACCGTGTTACCTGTTTGGTCAGGTCATTTCAGTCCTCTGAGACTCCATGCCCCAGGATGCAGCTTTACCTATGGAGTAAATGGAATTGTGACTCCTGCATTGTCTTGCTGTGCCGATCACAGATCACATGAGAGCATGGATGGATTTCCCAGCACTGCATCAGACATGCCAGTCATTGGTACCTGCTCTTAATCACTAGCAATTACTGGGAAGGAGGTGTTGCGCCATGAATCTTTGCAAACCCAAGGATTTCGCCTTACTGGGAAGATGAATTTAATTATATTAGAGCTTAATAAAATACTAGTGAATGGGATTGTGCGGAAAGAAAATAGGGGGTGGTGGGAAAATGTGGCTGGATAAACAGGAGATTAAATAAACTGTATCTCCTTTTCCTCATGTGTGAATTTGAGAATAACCCATTTGACTTTGTCAAGGGAAGGAAAGGCCCAAAAGGGAGACTGGGGATGTGTTTCTAGAAAGAGAGACCAGAGGCAAAGAGACCTGAGGGAGACCGTTGCTAAAGTTTGGGGTAATTCGTTAGGCAGGATTAGATAACTAATACATGATGTGAAGTACAAATCCAAGTAGTTTTTATTTTATTTTTTTGCATGTGAATCTCCAATTGTTTTAGCACCACTTGTTCAAAAGATTACTGAGACTATTTTATACTGAGTTGCCCTTGTGCCATTGTTGAAAATCAATCGGCCATGTATGCATAAGTGTATTTCTGTACTCTCTATTCTGTTTCGTTGATCTACTTGCCTGTCTTGACACCAGTTTCACACTGTCTTGATCACTGCAGCATTATCACAGGCCATGCAATCAGGTGGAATAGGCTCCAATTTTAGTATTCTTCAAAGTTGTTTTGGCTATTCTAGGTCCTTTACATTTGCATATGAATTTTATAGTCTGTTGATTTCTACAAAAGGACTGCTGGGATTTTGATTGAGACTGCATTGAATCAACAGATCACCAAGGCGAACACCAAGATCTTGCTGTGTCAGGCCAGCTCGCAGCAACACCGCAGCCTAGCTGGGAATACTAGGTCAGCTCCCGGATGGCAGCGGCTGATTTTCTCTTCCCCAGTTGGAAAGGTATTAGGTAAAAACTTCCATAATGTATTTTGATAAAGGTATAGTACAATCTTTGTGGAATTCCAAACAAAATATTGTAAGAAACATTTATTTGTGCCCAAGGGCCATAAAACTGATGTAATTTGAATGCAATAAAATATAAATAAATGGCAAACAGTTCTTGAGGGTTTTCTCTTAATTTTTCAACACATACTTTAGGGTTTCAACATAGAGCATTTACAGCATTCACCTTCCTGAATTAAGGGTGGGAGGGGGGTTGAGAAATAATTAGTATGCAATTTTTTGGCCCTGGGACTTTTCTTGTAAATGTTTTCTTTGGCAGCCATGCTCTTGAGAACAGGAAGTTACTCTCTTGTTACAGATTTAAGACTTTTCTGAGCCAAATAACAGAAAGCTGGATTAGTTCTGAAATGAAGGAGGGAAAAAAAAAACTCTAGGCTCTTGCTGGAGATTAATGACATTTTGCAAACATTTTAATTCTCCCCTTTCCTCTTAACTTGCCACCTCCTAAACAAAATACACTCAGACTGGAAAAAAACCTTAACTGGTCACTTTGCAGCCCAACCCTAAAATAAAATATATTTATGGTACCCACAAATTTATTTAAACATTTTTGCAGAGTTGGGGGAAGGAAATTATGGCTGTCTCAAGTTGACCTTTTTTTTTGTTACAAAATCCCCAATATGAAATTTAAAATGTAAAATGTAGTTGTGAAGATGTTAGTGTTTCCATGGTGATTATAAAGATTTATAATTTTCATTTGACATTTTAAAAATGGCTTTTGTTATAGATAAGAGTGTTTAATCAAGCTTTGTAAACAA